CAATTCCGGGTCCGTTTATCAAAAAGTCAAACCTTGGTTTAACTTTTCCAACTTAAAACTTCTAAAATGAGAATCATTCTTCCAAATCAATCCTGAACCGCTCAAAAACCGAAACCTACCATATACGCAAGTCATAATATATAATATGACGCTACTCAAAGTCTCAAACCACTGAATATAATGCTAAAGCTCAAAACGACCGATCGAGTCGTTACAAAGTCTAAGACGACTATTGAATAGCAAAACATTATCCCCTTCATGACACTCTTTTGGCATAATCATATGATCATACCACCATTCCGTCTTCTACTAAAACATTTACACATTCTCATACATGCCCAATCGAATTTTGTCCAACTCATTCATTTGTAACCATCTATTCTCACATGCAAGACTAAAATTAAAATTAAGCAACTTAATTGCCCAATATGCTTTACGTTCTGCCTATATAGATAAATATCACGATATCCCAAAAATTAGCTTATAAGATAAAGTCCCTGTGATTGTTTTGACAGCTATTCTATATGCTTATAGAGCTTCATCTAGCTTCACAGACCAATCCTTAGGAGAAGCACTATCGTTTTCTCAAGAATTCGTTTAAGCTCGTGGTTAGCCACTTCAACTTGCCCACTAATTTGTGCATGATATGAGGTTATCATTTTATGTGTTATCTCATATTTAGACATAAGTATAGAAACTACTTATTTACAAAATTAGACTCATTTTGACTAATGATATCTCGAGGTGTGACAAATGAGTGAAGATATTCTTCCTAAAACATCACACACCACAACGAGCATCATTAGTCCTAGTAGAGATTTCCTTGACCCACTTAGAGACATAATCAATGGCTACTATGATATACTATTAAGAATGGGATTAAGGGAAAGGGCCGATAAAGTCAATACAAACACAAAACATTTTACATATTGGAATTGAGTTTAGGAGAATGTAATTATCACGCCCCAAAATTGAGGAGCGCGACCGGCGCTCAACCAAGTGAACCCAACCGTGCAATTAACACGTCCACATCATAACATAGTTTGTCTTTCCGAGCACCAATACACAACCCACACTATATCTACGGAGTCTCTATAGATAAAGAATAGTACAATGATAATGCCGAAAATAAGGCCCCGGCTATACCTCAAACCGAATACACAAAGTACAAAAGATACATGACCCCGGAATGAAGTGGGGCTCACCAAGTCAGCTGGGAAGAAGGTGTACTGCTATCAGTGATCAATATCTCCTGCTGTGGAACCACCTGCATCCATTTAAAGATGCAGCGCCCCCGGCAAAAGGGACGTTAGTACCGTCGAATAGCACTAGTATATATAACTAAACAGTTTCTCGATAGAATGACAAATAATACAATAAGATTATCATAATATCAATGAAAGCCTTAATATCATTGTCCACAATACCATTATTCACAATACCAGTATTCACAAAACTAGTACCACTGTACTCCTAGCACGGAGTCCGATCATGACCCGATCGGCTAGGCCATCTCATTAGAGACATCAACCACAATTTCTCTCAATATCAATACCATCGTCTTTAGAACGGAGTTCGATCACGACCCGATTGGCTAGGCTATCCATTAGGGACATCAACCGCAATTACCATTTCAATTATAATTTCCAGCACAATCACCACCATGTGTGCGGCATGGTGTCCGATCATGACCCGACTGACTAGGCCGTCTTATTTGAGACATCTACCTTTTTATATGAACCATCACATTTTGTATTACTTCACATCTTTTCATTTCATTGGCACTAATGGCCATAATTATAAGATCATTCTCGGTACGTTGGCTATATTTAGTATTTCATGCTCACCTTATCAATTTCAAATATCATTATCATCGTCAACAAGAAATACAATTCAAATCAAGGTGTGTAGTACACATGTGATAAATTTAGAGTCTAAGGCACATAGAGATATTTCACAAAATTTGGCATAATAGCCTTCATTTGAACTTGACTTAAAGTCGAAACATTATTAACGCACAACCCATATTTTAACACATCCTCAATTGGTAACATAACATGAATAAAGCCTTTGGGATGCTTGTTGAACATATATCTTTCAACCCAATCTTACTCGGAATAGCTAGTTTCATAATGAATCACTCGGGACTTACATAATATACCTGAATATCGTGGGATTCAATTTTAAGAGAAGAGTTTAGCCAACATACCTCACTTGAGCTTCCTTACACTCTAAATGTTCCGGAATTCTTAGCAACTTCAATCTATTTTAGAAATATAACAAATTGAACCAAAATTAGGAAGATGATCATGGTTCTAGCTCATTTGAGCATTTGATCAAACACTAGATGTACATTAAGGTTTCAAGGTCCTTTCATGGAGGATTCCATCATCCCACAATCCAACCTTTACCATTTTTAGCTCAACAATCTTTTTACACCATTGGATATCAAATGCATGTAAAATAACCAACCCCCTTGTCCAGAAATTATATTGCTTATTATCCATTTCTACACAAAATTCAAAATTGAGGGTTAGGGTGTAGAATCTTACCTCTAGGATGAAGACCTAGTGAGCTTCCCTTCTCAATCTTCCAAAACTTGGGCAAGAATTGAAGAACAATTATTGGAGAACACCTTCTCACTCTAGGGCACCCTCTCTCACTCTAAAATGTCAGATAATAGCTCAAAAATGACCCAAAGAGTGTATTTAACGAAATAGGGTCGGGTTTTAAAAACCCAAAAATGGAGCTCCAGAATAGGTTCTGCTGTCGCATATGTGACCGCATAATGGTTATGCGGACCGCATATCGGTCGTATAATTGGTTACAAAATAGCCAAAAGAACTGCCTGTGTATGCGGTCACTATGCGGTCCGCATAACTGTTATGCGGTCGCATAGTCGACCGCATAGCTGCTTCCAGAATAGCCCTCACCTGCTCACTTCTGCGGCCATTATGCGGCCAGCAGAGTGATTATGCGGTCGCATAATGGACCTCATACATGCACATTTCCGGCAAAATCCTCAAACACGTAAGCCTAGTCTGGCACCATGAAACATTATTTTCTTTGCAAATTTTACCAGGCCTTACACTTAAGTACTTCGAAATTTTCCAGGGTGTTACAGTAATGACCCGATCGGTCGATTTGAGACTTAGCATTTCATTAGGCAATTCGAGACTTTGAGTAGCTTTATATGATATATTATATCTTGCATATATGATTAGTTTTGATGTTTGCAAGGTTCGAGATTGGTTTGATAGAGTGATTCTCAATTTGGAAGCCTTGAGTTGGAAGGGTTGGCCAAGGTTTGATTTTTGAGTAAATAACCTCAGAATAAGAATTTGATGGTTTCAATTGGTTCGTATGGTGATTTTGGATTTGGGCATATATTCGGATTTGAATTTGGATGTTGCTAGAAGGTTTTGGCTCTATTTGTCGAAAGTTGGCAATTTGAAAAATTTAGGAGTTTATATGTTTGAACGGGAGTTGACTTTGGTGTTATCAGAATCCTATTGTGGGTTTGAAACCTTGGATAGGTTCATTTAGCTGATTGGAACTGCTTTGCAAAGTTTGGGTGTTATCCGGATTGTCTAAGTGTGATTTGGACGTGTTCAACGAAGTTAGAAAGTTTGAAACTTAAGAGAATGATTTGATCTTCAATTCTTGGTTTTGGTGTTATTTGTGGTGCTTCGAGTCTTTGGATAAGTTTGGATAATATACTTGTACTTGTTGGTATAATTGGACAGGGTCGCGAGGGGCTCAGGTGTGTTTTGGATCATTGGTTAAGAGACTAGTTAAGTCAAAAATTTGGAGTTTGACCATAGTGAACATTGGGTTAAAACGACCTATTTTCGGTGTTTTGAGTGTGCGAGTAGCTTTATGATTGTGCATATATGATTTGTATTTGAGAGGTTCCGAATGAGTTTTGGGGTGCTAATACTAAGATTTTGCAATTGCATAATTATCTGGTGCGATAATTTTAAAAATACCGGTTATGTCCCTAAGTTCGTCCATAAATTTCAAACTTCCTTTAAAACATCAAATTATCGCATCTCTTTAATTTTAAGGCCAAATTGGGTAATTGAGAAAGCTATCTTGGGTAAAATTTGGAAACGAATTTATTGGGCTTGTCAAAGGTGAGTTTCGAGATCATCTAACATCTAATTCGGGCTGGGATAACTGCTTCAGTTGTTTTACTTGTTTCGGGATTTAGTCACTTTTTCATACAATATTTTGGAAGAGGCAATGTTTGAGGGTATTTTCATCACTACATTGTGTGTAAATAATTTTTACTTAGATTTGGTTAAAGATCTTGATTTTCCATAGATTTGTATACCTAAAACTTGGATTTTCATAGTGAAAAATTGGGATTTTTGTCTACAACTTAAGAGGGTGAATATTGGGGATTTGGGAGTCAATTTGGACTTGGTTTTGGAATCTAATCACATATTTGATTTTATGGGATTATGAGTAGTCGGGATCTACCCCTTGACTCAGGTTTTGATCATGTGGACCCGGATTGACTTTTGAAATCTTTTTTATATTTCTTTAGTCAATCCACTAGGCGCTGTGCCTAGAGTTAGATTTTTTATATATAAATCAAGTAAAGTACTATAAAGGAGGGGGACATGGACCTTACCTCCAAACCTATGATGGACTCACAGTCAATTATCCAAACATGATAACCAATTGGATCCTGTGCACTAAGTGTAGTTAGACCTATGTAAACAAACCAATTGACTATCCACATTTGGTAGTCAATTGGATCACCAAACAACAATGTTTACTAAGCCTAGGTCAACTAAGTAAGAGAGATGAAAGGATTCCTTCCATGTACAAAGGATCCTAAAACAGATAGAAGGTGGATTCTCCCTATGAAAGAGGACAAAAAAAAACAAGCATTTAATGGGAACAATCCTATGGATCAATGTATTTATCTTCGACTCGACTTTAACGATATCATGAGAGAAAGCCATGGTGAAGATAAAAAATAGTAGAAATAAGTAAAGTTACCAAAGTAAACTATCTGTGTATGTTATGAATGACAGAAGAGATGGAGCATGGGAAACTTGACTGTTGATGTACGTTCTACAACATCAAATAATTCCAAAAAAAGTCTCCTATTCTTTGTTGTTTCCTGTGATTGACCATAGCAGTTGTCTACATTACAAAGAGTTTTGAGAGCCTGTTGTTATCATAAAAAAAATTGGGGCTTTCATGTTGAATTGGTGGCAGGTGGAAGCAGATGTAGGAGTTTATGCATTTTCTGAATGCAAGATTCTACACCTGGGGGTTGCTGGTAATTGAAGGATACTAGACTGCTTGGTTTGAGCCCCTAGGTTTATCCATGATGGTCCTTGTCTAACATCATATCTATGTCTGATGATTTGATCTCATGTGCCCTTTATATTGAGCAACTATAATAACCTGGACAACTAGGTTTGGTCCCCTAGATGTGTCCTGTTGGTTGCTTGTTTGAGGGGAGCATGTGTGTATAACTAACAATGGGTAGTCTGCCTGCACCCTTTGAGATGCTCTTAGTGGAATTAACATTAGAAATGCTAATAGAACACACTGAGAACATCTCAATGAGTTAGACATGTTCATGGTACCTACAAAATTAGCAAATATGTTAGTGAAAAACAAGACCCCCTCTACAGAGTAGATGGGGTGTGGTGTCCACACTATCTACCAGCTTCTAAGATGTAATTGATGTTTATGTATGGCTGTTGCATATTTGGAAGTCCAATGGAGAATGTGGTGGGATGTTGGTGGTTGATGGAAAGTGTATGAGATGTTGTTAGCTAGAGAGGCAGAATGCTTCATGTAGTGTATGAGCACTTCTTATCTTATGTGAACCATGAAAGGGTGTGAATGTGACCCTGTATGACGAAGGTAAATAGAACCAATTGAGACAGCTAGGTATGCTACCATAGATTTGTCCCAACCGGGGTGTGTTATGTTCAATCGATCATGAGTGGTCATCAAAGAGTGATATGTTGTATGCCTTTGATAGGTTCTTAGTAGAATGAGCATTATAAATGCTAATACCACATACTGAGTATAGATAAAAGGATTGAGCATATCATGGAAAGTTGTACCTACAAAAGAGAAGCTAAAGTTAGTGTTCTGTGATGCATCCATGTCTTTCTTCCAGAATAATTGGACAAAAAACTCATCATTTAGAGGTGGGAGATTTCTCGGTGAAATGATTTCAATGGCATATACCTGAAGGATTGTGTGTGTGAGTGTAGTGTGATGTTCTGTACTGGTGTGCCTGTTGGTCAGTTTAGGAGGGTACTGGGTTGGTGTTTGGATTTGAGAAGGAAGATGGTGTTCAACTAACTTAATGTAGTTGTTATGTCTATACGTTGGTGGTGGTAGGTGTGTTTTAAGGTGTGGGCAATTATGTTTGTGTGTTAAGGACGGTTGGTTTGCACTTTGGATTTCACAGTGCATAAGCACCAATTCAGATGGTCAGTAGGCCAAGGATCTCCCTCTATCCACTGATAGATTCTCAGTGGATTGAATAAAAATCTAGGTGGGTAACACCACACCCTGAAAAGGAGTCAGTGGACATAATAATTGATCACTGGGAAAACCTGTAGAAAAGGAAACAAATGTTAGCTTGAAACTGTGCACTAGTGCTCTCCTCCAACATGATTTGAGCAAGGAGATGTGTGTATGTTTGCTCACCCAGGATGTATGGTTACGTGTGCTCCCATGCCATCCTGGTAATCTGTCACGACCCAAACCGATGGGCCGCAACAGTCACCCGGTACCTTACTCAACCGAGTACCAACATAACGTATCTCTTGTATCATACTATCATAGGTAAATGAGCCGGAGAGGCTATCGTGAGATAAGTAGAATAAAACATGAGGAAATACTCGACATGATATACCGACTTATACATATGACGTACGGGTCTATAAGACCAAAATGATCACTCGTATACTGAACATAGGCCGACAAGGCCATACAATCTTTCACGTACATAACATATGTCTATAAGCCTTTAAGAGTAGATAAATACCATAAAGGTCGGGACAGGGCCCACCATACTAATCTATACATGTCCAAATCATACTGACCAAATAAGCAATTTCGGAGCAAATGGAGCGCACCAACACCTTCCGCTGAGCTGATAGCCTACTTGGAGGACTCTCAACCTGTCTATCGGGACCTGCGGGCATGAAACACAGCATCCCCAGGCAAAAGAGACGTCAGTACAAATAATGTACCGAGTATGTAAGGAATGAAAATTAGTAAATAAAAGATGTGAGAGAAATACGGAGTAAAAGACTCAACATGTAAGTCTGAATAGCTATGTGAATCATTTCATATTTATAATATCATGCATATGCGTATAAATGTCGTACCATGCATAGGTATATGCATACATAACATCATCAAGCCTTTGAGGGCATCCCATCATATCATATCAGCCACTTAGGGAAATCATCAACGTATACCAGCTGATCAGGTGGTGGTGCGTATACAACGCTGTAACCTTTTCCCATATCCCATATATATATAATATACGCGTATATAATGCCATCTGGTCATGGGTCAATATACATGTATAAATGAATGAAATGCTTAAAAAAATACGTTAATAAGATTTCTCGGAACGTTATAAGATCAATATGTCTTTCAGATAATTTTTATCAACTACGTATTTTTCAGATACCCATGAGCAGATGATATAATATTAAGACACATGGAAAATCAAGAACGTAGGCACCTCTAGTATTTCTATAAATAGAGTCATTTATGAAAGTTGTGTATTTGCTCTTTTCGTTTGTATCGTATAGATCATGCCAAAAGAAAAGGAGGGATATCCTTAACATACATTAGCTGATTCTCTTAACAATCCTTCCAACACCCGTCAGACACGACAAAACATGTAACGGTGGATCGAAGTAGGGAAAATCCGTGTGATATTCTTGAGAAAGATTGTACCGGGCTCCCTTAGAATTGCAAATCCCGTTGCTATTACGCAGTATAACTTCGTATGAATTTTTTGCTGAAGATCCGCTACTTTGCTTAATTCTAATCCACCTCTCTTTGTGAATCAGAGGTCTTATACTTTAGTGGGTGTGAGGCCCACTAAGGTGATGACTTAGCCTCTAAATGTGACACCTAATCAAATGAATTAAGAGTCATTAATTTGGGCAAGGTTTGCTGCCACGTTGTGGTTCCTTAGTCTTATCCAAAGTCCTTAATTAATTATCCACCAATTTTTTAATTATATGGTTAATCTCCTATTAAATCAATAATTAACCAATTACCCATATAATTAAGAATTAACTCAAATTACTTAAAATACTACTCACTTTTAATACACTTTATGTACCCTGCTATCATGGTCAAGTGATACCTTGTATGGCACTAGTCCATAAATACGGGGTAGTATAGCTTGGACCGTATTTTATCTCAAAATAAAAACCTTCAACGCAACTCATTTTCTTTGATATGTTTACCCTCTCACCTTCACGAATTTACTTATCCCTTATTTGAAATAGCATAAATTCTTATAACCTCAAAAATAATCTCATTCCCGAGTCTACGCCGATTAACTTACGGCGAAACTTTAACGTACGAAAATGCGGGATGTAACATCTCATTTCCGAGCTTTCATCAATTTACTTATGGCGTACTTTTACGTACGAAAACATGGGGTGTAACATCATTCCCCCTTTGGAACATTCGTCCTCGAATGTTGACTGATGCACTTATCATTATCATAACCTATAGTTTTTGCGAATATTTTAGTGCTCTCCTTGCCATCTAGGCAACTGTTCTGTGTATGAATCTAAAGGTCAGGACATTCCCCCCTTTAAGCCTCTTTCTCACACCACGACTTGTGGTCGGAATTCTTCAAATCGTGTAACTATTGCTACCTTCTATCATGCAGTCTGTATGACTTTGTCCTTGTATGTGCGCTTATGCGACTCTTCTCTTATTTTTCCTCCAGCCTTTAGCCAATTTCTAAGCCCTACTTTGTGAACGTATATAGAATTATGACAAGTTGTCCCTCTGGGCATCTATGGCTTTACTATATCTAAGTAGTTCATACTATACCATAACTCTTACTTCGATTTACTACCAAACTCCAGGTTACTCTCGTTGCTTATCCCATATGTATAAATCTAAGCCCTTTAATACTTCCTCATTACTGTTCATCTTAAGAATGACGGCCTAATCTCATCTCATACTTGTAACTCTTATCCATCCATTGTTGATTCACCTCAATATTGATCTATAATCTACCACTGATAAATTGAAACCTCTTACGTAATTACTAGGGCTCACGTTGCATTGAGAAACATTTGATGTGATTTTCCTGATCCACCATGGGGCTATACCATACTTCCACAATCGTATTTCATAGCATCCCAATGTGATTCACCTTACGTGGGTATTTTAATCCTATACAATTCATGAAATCCCCCTTTTGTTTTCTTCAAATCATTACTCAATCGAAGGCCCAAACGTCATCCTTTATCTATCACAATTACACCCTTATTCTACTACCAGGGCAGCATTCCATGTCTTCTAATGCTATTAGTCTTAGTCTTCTTTGAGTTCATGCATGCTATACTGGGTTTTCTATAACTTAGAGAAACCATTAGCTCTCTTGTTTTCATGGGCTTAATCCCGAGGACTTATCCATTGTCGTCACCTTCTCACTCGTCCTTTCTTATCCTTACTCTTGTCTTTCAAAAACCTTGTCGCTTTCCCATACATTAGCTTGCGACCTACACATATCTATTTATACTACTCGCAACCTTCCTTCAACTTGCTTGCATCATAAATTTCCTTATGTTATTCTGGAACATCAACCAATACATTACATCGTCTCTAACTCTTCTTTATTCTTTTAACTAGACCTCTCGGTACCTAGAAACCGTAGACTGGAAGATATGCCACTGACGCCGCCGCTATCATTCCTGGATACTGAATCCCAGTGCTTCTAGTCTTCTACCTGAAGTATGGACTATACACAACCTTACGCACCTGAGTATCTCGTACGTTGTTCACCTTTACTTTACTTACCTTAAAATCTCGCATCATATCTTCTGTCTCTTTCATGACCTTCCTTCCACATAGGTATAATTCACATCCACACACTAACTTCTTGTGAGGCTGGCACTCTTCATAGAATATGGTTGTTGTACTCTTGTACTTCTGATACTAAGAGTGATCCTCCAATGTTCTTAATCATAAGGTCTATAATTTTCTTGGTCCAATAATTAGACTCCTGATTTACTTAGTTGATGTAACTCTTTAGTTTCCTCTTCCATGCGATCAACCTTTATGTAGGCTTAAGCTATCTTCCAATCTGTGGCTCATGGTATTAGTTATTACTTTAGCCTTTTATGAAAGCTATGGAATATCCGTGATACCATCATCTCACAATTCAATCCTTTGTCTATGACATGGACTCAATTCTTTCTTTTAACTTATACCGGAGTCTTCTACGGTTGTATGATGTCAACATATATACTACATGGATAATAATCCGAAATCTTAAGTGCGTTCATAACGTAACCAACTCTGGATCTTTGATCGAATAATTCCTTTTGTTCCTTGTCAGGTTTCTTTAAACGTAAGCTATTACTTTTCCTGGTCTTTCTACCCCCTTGTTGCGTGCATACTATCTTATCTTAGTTCCCACACATATTGGAATTCCATACAACCATATGATCTTGAATATCACCTTTTAATTTTTTTTCTTCTTCCCGTTCATTAGCCACGGTAGGTGCCACTTTCTTATGGAGTGCATACAATGTTGTAATGAGACTATTTTTACATGACCAATTGTTCTTCACATTGCTTCTTTTACTTGTTGAAACTTGTATCTACCTTCTAAATCTCTCATTTCGTTTCACCATATGGGTGGATAGATACTCTTGCCTTAATGCTCCTTATCAAGAAGCTTACAAGTCTTAATACATACATGTTCTACTAAAGACCTCACATTTACTTATCATAAGCATCATGCAAAATCGAGTTCCTCTGACTCAGCCCTTCCACAACTATATCTCTTACCAACCGTCTTTCTGGATGCAGGTATCGTTGTATTACGAATAAGATAGAGTTTAAGAGTTTGAATTCTTATAACTGAGCTCTACCACACGATCTAGAGTAAGAATAAAGAGTGACAATCCTAAAAGCCCTGTTGCCTCCTACTTATAAGTGTGGTGAACAACACACCCATAAATCAGAGTCTACTAGACATGGCATGTAGACTCCCCAGGACAGAACTGCTCTGATACCACTTTTGTCACGACCCAAACTGATGGGTCGCAACGGGTACCTTACTCAACCGAGTACCAACATAACGTATCTCTCGTATCATACTATCGTAGTAAATGATCCTGAGAGGCTGTCCTAGCATAAGTAGAATAAAACATGAGGAAATACTCGACATGATATATCGACTTATACATATGTCGTACGGGCCTATAAGACATAAATGATCACTCGTATACTGAACAGAGGCCGACAAGGCCATACAATCTTTCACGTACATAACATATGTCTACAAGCCTCTAAGAGTAGATAAATACCATAAAGGTCGGGACAGGGCCCCACCATACTAATCTATAAATGTCCAAATCATACTGACCAAATAAGCAACTATGGAGCAAATGGAGCGCACCTACACCTTCCGCTGAGCTGATAGCCTACTTGGAGGACTCTCAACCTGTCTATCAGGACTTGCGAGCATGAAACGCAGCGTCCCCAGGCAAAAGGGATGCCAGTACAAATAATGTGCCGAGTATGTAAGGAATGAAAATCA